CGGTGCTTGCAGCAACTTGCAACCACTCTAGTGAGTGTCGGGTCGCTCTGGTGTGCCCCTCCCAAAGCACGCAGGCTCGCCCAGCCAGGCCTTGGCCGGGCCGCCCGCCGTGCCCCGGCGCTGGCAGCCTGGTGGCGAGGGGCTCACCGCTCCTTGACGATGTGGTCAAGCTTGTAGCTGGGCTTGTTGTCTTTCAGGCGCTCCACTGTGTTCCACTCGCTCTTCCCGTAGGCCTTCCGCAGCTTCCGGACAAACACCTGGATGCAGGAAGGGACCTCGGATGCTGGTCTCCCATGGTGACAGCCATGGCAGGCGGGGGCTTCTCAGTGCCTCCCGAGGTGGGCGCTGCCATCTGCCTGTGTGGCCAGCTCCTGGTCCCAGGGTCCACAGACCAGCGCCCTCCATGGAGCATCACGCCCGGCCTATGCAGATGAGCAGAGCCAGGCCAGGGAACCACTCACGGACAGGCTGACGCTGCAGGCTGATGGGGAGGAAGCCAGGGCATGCCAGCCCCTCTGCCAGGCCACCTGCCCCTGAGGCAGATCAGGGTTGGGAGGGCTGGCCTTGGCTCCCAGCTCTAGTCTGTCAGTGCGATGTGTGCGGCAGTCACCCAGAAAAACGCAGCTGGGGCCAGGCCCTCCAACCCACCCGACTTCTTCCCTCCAAGCACTTCTCGGGCTTGGTGCTCCTCTGCGGGGACTAGCCACAGCAGCTCTGGACAGCCGCCTCCCCGCGGGCCCTCGGAAGAGCAGAGGCAGCCTGCTCTCCTGTGCACCACCAGGTGGCGCTGCCCCCCAATCCTGACTCTAGCAGGGGCCTCACTGCCCATCAGGGCTCCGCAGCCAGCAGCTCCTTCCCATTAGTCTGCCTTGAATGGCCGCTGCTAGCAATATCCAGGTTTCGGCTTTCCCCGTGGTATGGGACCAATCTCAATGGCAAACAACAATGCAGAGGCCCCTGAGCGTTTCCCGGGTTCCACGGCCACCAAACCCAAACACGAAACGGCCCGGAATCCCTGCGGCTCGTGCCCCGCCCCCGCTCTGCGCAGCTCCGCGCCCCGGGCCGGCCTCACCTTGTACTCCCGGAACTTGCTGACAATGGGCTCGTGGAGGAGGAACTTGATGTCTTTGAGGAGGTAGAAGGTGCGCGCGGCCGTGGAGCCCTTGTTCACCTTCTTCTTGTGCTTGGGCTCGTGCGGATAGATGCCCTTCAGGATGCAGAGCCGCCTGCAAGCAGAAGCCGCTCGTCCCACGGCACAGGGGCAGAGCCCTGGGCGGCGACAGGGCCCGGGGCAGTGCCCCCTCTCCCCCCAAGCAGGGCTCTGACGGCTCCAAGCGTGCCAGGACCAGGAGGGAGATGAGCAGGGCGGTGATGGGGTGACAGGCAGGCAGCCCTCGCGGCTGGGGCAGGTCTCACGCAGAAGTCAAGATTCCCACCGTGCAGACAGTGGGAGAAGACGACCCCAAGAATGGGGAGAAAGGCCGCGTACGTGGAGAGGGCTGGGCACGTCTGAAGGAAAAGCAAGGGGCCTGGCGGGGCCGCAGAGGCCGAGGACGCCAAGGGCAGAGCCCGCGGGCTGCAGACAAGTGCGGATTCAACTCAATGACGCTGCAGCGTCGGGGGTCTCATGCAGCAAAGACCCAGTCCAACCTCGCTGGCCCCTCCCGAGGCCCCGGCTCCCTCCCCGCTTCCCCCCAGGCCACGCCGGGCAAAGTGGGCTCCCCGGAGCCAGGCCAGGGAGACAGAGAAGGAACACCCGCCTCCTGGACAGCCCGGCAGCTCCAGCTCGGGGAACACAGGCTGCGGCTGAGCCTCCGCGGTGCGGCCCCCGTCCGGGCTGCCCAGGGTCCTTGCTCCCCTCCCCCCCTCACCTGAAGTCAGCCAGGCTCAGCTGCAGCTTCTTCCGGGCTTTGTTCCGGGTGATGTAGTTGGTGGCGGAGCCTCGCTCATACTTGGGGAGGGAAAACCGGCTCCATTAGTGACGGCGGCAGGGCAGGGCAGGGCAGGGCAGGGCAGGGCGAGCATCCAACTGGGCCAAGCAGGCCGGAGGCTTCTGGGCCTGGAAGCGCTCTGGGGAGGGCGCTGGCCTGCCTGGCTGAGCTGCGCGGTCCCTGCAGCTGGCAGCGTGGAGCACACAGACGTGCAGGCTGCTGGGGGCGGGGCGCGGGGCCCCAGCTCCACGTGTTGGCTGGGACAGTCAGGGGAGGCGGCTACCGCTAGAACCCCCATCTGCTACGGGGGAAACAGGCTCAGTGAAATGACTGGCTCCAGTCACACAGCTTTCGTCAGAGCTGGGGCTGGGGTTTGAACTCAGGTCTGAGTCCAGAGCTTGAGTGTAACCGCGAAGCCGCGTTCCCCTCTCTCTCTTAATTTGAACTTCTGTACCACCACCGGGAGGCGGGGCTTCGGGCTCTCCCCGCAGCCCCGGGAAGCGCTACCGCCAGGGACACACTGTCGACCTGCGTGGCGACACGGCCGCTCCGCTCGCGGCACATCACAGTGCAGTGTGAACGCCTAAGGGGCCTCTCGGGCAACCGCTGCTCCCTGGCGGGTGACCGACCCTGGCTGACAATGTCCGCCTCAAGCCCAAGCCTCCCCCCACCCCATGGACGGTAAGAGGTCATCTACCACGCTCGATGCGGTGAGCCAGAAGCCGCAAGGATGAGAAAGCCGGCACAGAGGCCTGGCCTCTACTGCTCCCGACGAGCGCGTGGACGCCGCCTCGCTCTCACCATTCCGCATCCCACGGCCCCGCACCCGGGCCCACACACCCTGCCATGCTAAGCTCTGTTCTTCCCCAGTGTTCAGGGGGCTCGGCCAGGTGCAGATGGGCAGGGTCCAATCGGAACCTCCTGGAGGGTGCTCCCACTCATGGATAAACAGGCAGGACGCATAGCCGTCATCCACTCTGTGTTTATTTACTTTCGAGGCAGAGAGGGAGAAAAGCAAACAGGGAGCCCCCACCTGCTGATGCACCTGGGAAACGCCAGGCCAAAGCCAGAGCCAGGAGCTCCACTCAGGGCTCCCATGTGGGTGGCAGGGACCTGATTATTTAAGCCACCACTCCTGCCTCCCAGGCTCTGCAGAAGCAAGCGGGCTGGAATCAGGAGCGGATCCAGTAACTGAACCCAGGGACCCCGACGGGGGTCGGGGGTGGGTGCAGGCTCTTTACGCCTGCCCCTCCCTCACATACTAACAGTGCATCCGGGATACTAAGACCACCTCAGACGGTTTCAGCAAGTTGGGTGTTCGGGCCGGTGCTGTGGCACAGCAGGTGAAGTCGCTGCCTGCAGTGCTGACACCCCATTTGGGTGCCGGCTTGAGTCCCGGCTGCTCCACTTCCGATCCGGCTCCCTGCTAATGCGCCTGGGAAAGCAGTGGAAGACGGCCCAAGTCCTTGGGCCCCTGCACCCACAGGGGAGACCTGGAGGAAGCTCCTGGCTTGGGCCTGGCCCAGACCTGGCTGTGGCAGCCATTTGGGGAGTGAACCCGTGGATATGAGATCTACCTCTCTGTTCCTCTGCCTTTCAAGTAAACAGATATATATGTTTGTATATTTTAAGTGAACACACACATACACATACATTCATATAAAATATATTTTAAAAAGGAGTCAGAATGGTGGGGTGGGCGTTCAGCCTGGCGGCTATGATGCTGCAGCCCATACTGGAGCACCTGGCGTCAATACTTGGTTCTGGCCCCTGAATCCAGGAAGCAGCGGCCATGGCCCCAGTAACTGGGCTCCTGCCCCCCATGCGCCTTCATCCTCACCCCACCACCCCAGCCATCAAAATGACTCCCCACACAGCCGGGGCAGCTCCCGGGAAGCTCCATCCTACAGCATTTAGAATGAGATCCAAGCTCCTCACCGCGGCGCACAGCCTGGCACGATCAACAGCCTCTGTCCAGCCCCAGCCTCGCTGCGTACCCCCATCCCCCTTCCCTAGGTCCACCGGACCCCAGCCATCCCGCGACCTCTCCCCCCTGCTGCTCTCCCACCCCCACCCCCACCCCAGAACTGATCTGAGATGTTCTGATCTCAACGGAACAATTCCGCATCGAAGACGCCACCCCCACCGAGGCAACACGAACTAAAACGGGGATCCGTGGAGAGTCTCCATGGGGGCTCCCGGAGTGCTTTCTCCACACCCCGTTTAGCAACCAGGGATCGTTCCGTCTGGTTGCTGACTTTCGTGTCCGTCAACCCCTCTAGAACGTGAGCCCAGGGACGGCGCGGACCACATCTTGGTCGCTTTAGTCGCCATCGCCAATGCCCAGGGCGGGGCTTGGCTCAACAGAAAAAGGGAGCACGAATTCCAGGTAGACTTTTTCAGGGAGCAGTTGTCCCACGCCACGGGCCAGCCTGCTTTTGGATTCAGTCCCTTCCACAGAAGAAATTCATAGACCCTCACTGGACTTCAACAGACGACTACTACTGTCCCCGCCCACCGTCGGACCCCTTCTCTCGGCTGTCTCCCGTCGCTTCCAGCCGGCAATTTCCGGCCTCACAATGTCCCGAGGCCGGAAAAGGTGCCGACCCCAGACTCCGCTGCTCCCACGTCCCACCCTCTGGAACCCGAGCATCTTCCCCACTGACCTTCTTTTTCTCCAGGCCTCCCATGGCTCCACGTTGAGGGACCTAGCAGCGCCGCGCGGATAGACAGCGCCACTTCCTTCCGCACGTGCGTTTCCCAGGACCCCTAGGACCCCTCGCGCCGCGGGTCTGCGTGTGCTGCCCCACAAGGTGCCTGTTCAAATCCAGGGGGAAATTAGGGATTTTCCCCTCGTAATTTACAGATAAACTCATAAAAAACCACCACGGCCGTCACTTCTAGGTCTTTCCCTGTCATCAGCGTGCTACGGAGATTTTAAACGTTTTCACGAATGCGAATATTCAGGCACTTCTATAACTACCCTACTGACGAATGCCTGACTGAGAGCCCCATTGCACGTTGGGAAGGAGGGGCGGAAGACGTCCGAGTCTGCGCAGTGCGTTCTGGGATGCAGCGTGGAAACACTGCGCAGGGCATGGCGGGAGTTGCGTTGTCGTGGTAACGGTTGCTAGGCGACGTCAGAACCCGGCCCGCGTAGAGACGCGGCGGTGGTGGGCGCCGCTTGAGGTGTCTATGGTGGGTTGGCTGAGCCTTCGGCTTCTGTTTGGCTTATTTGCTCTAATGGGGGTAGAATAGAGGAAAAAGTAGATATTTTTAAATTTTTTTTTATGTTTTCCTCCCTCAGACCGCCAAACGTATTTTGGAGATGGCCTCAGAAGCCTGGATTTGAGGCCCCCCTGAACGCGGCCTGGCCTGGGGTTCCGGGCATAGAACGCACCCCTTAGAGGTGTGGACACGGCGGTGAAGCCCTGGCGAGTGCTTGTTTTAAATTAAATTTTTAAAAAAAATTAGGTTATATTTCAATTCCATTTTCCCGTGAGGTTTTTGGAAAAACCCCCTATAGGAAACGCATTTACAAGGCAGGACGTGGGTTGTGGGCCGAGGTCACCCATTTGCTTAGTGCAGAAGGGCTTGTCACCAGGCAGGCGGGCTCCAGGCTGCTGCTGGACTCTGGCCACGACGCCCTGAGTGGTGGCCAGGCCCCGGCACGCAGCCCGCAGCTGCCGCCGCCACCTGCTGAAACGTGGGTGCCTCCAGTCCAGTGCCAGGCCGATGTGAGTTCCCGGGAAGGGACGGGGCTTTTTTTGTTGTTTTTCCTTTTTTTAGCTGTCTCTGAGACAGGGCAGAGTTAGAGAGAGAGACAGAAAGGTCTTCCTTCCATTGGTTCACCCCCCCTCCCAAATGGCCGCTATGGCCGGCGCACCGTGCTGATCTGATGGCAGGAGCCAGGTACTTATCCTGGTCTCCCATGGGGTGCAGGGCCCAAGCACCTGGGCCATCCTCCACTGCACTCCCGGGCCACAGCAGAGAGCTGGCCTGGAAGAGGGGCAACCGGGACAGAGTCCGGCGCCCCTACTGGGACTAGAACCCGGAGTACCGGCGCCGCAGGCGGAGGATTAGCCAAGTGAGCCGCGGCGCCGGCCGAGGGACGAGGCTTTTAACCATCAGCAGTGTCCACGCTGTCACGGCATCCCGGTCTCCGCAGACAACACCCCTGGTTTACCCCAGGCCCTGGACGAGCCGCCCCCCCCCCCACCTGACCCAACTGTCTCCCTCGTTTGTACAATGAGGGCGCCACTAACTGCAGAGAGTATTGTTGCTTTCCGTATTTTAAAGTTTTCATTTTTAAAGATCAATAGCGGTGGGGCCAATGCTGCAGCTCACTAGGCTAATCCTCCACCTGCGACGCCGGCACACCGGGTTCTAGTCCTGGTCGGGGCGCCGGATTCTGTCCCGGTTGCTCCTCTTCCAGGCCAGCTCTCTGCTGTGGCCAGGGAGTGCAGTGGAGGATGGCCCAGGAGCTTCTTCCGGGTCTCCCACACGGGTGCAGGGGCCCAAGGACTTGGGCCATCTTCTACTGCTTTCCCATGCCATAGCAGAGAGCTGGATTGGAAGTGAAGTAGCCAGGTTTCGAACCAGCGCCCATATAGGATGTGGGTGCTTCAGGCCAGGGCGTTAACCCACTGCACCACAGTGCCGGCCCCATCATGTGTGGATTTCAAAAATATTTTGCAGCAAAATAAACTTTCGGATCCATTTCCCACCAGCGTTTTTAAGTGCCCTGGTATTTACCAATGGGCAGTATATACACAATATACTTCTTGATACCGAAGGTTTCTGGCAGCTTTATTCGCAATCACCAGCAATTAGAAGCCACCAAGGTGTGCGTCAGTGGAATCCATGGGTTAACACGCGGTGGCACATCCCACACTAACTCAGGAACTACCCTGATAAACAAGGACTCTACCTGGAGTCGTAGGAATTGCAGCTCAGGAGAGACAGATTCGCAGAGCTCAGGCCGGGCTCTGAAGAATGCGGGGGAGGTGGAAGCTCCGGTGTGACTTACAACAAAGTGGTGGGGGTCTCTGGTGGGGTTGGGAACAGTGGCCAAGCAACAGGAGCTGTGTGGCCAACAGGAGACAAGAAAAGGCTATGTACCCTTGGTAAAAATATCCGTAAGACGAGAGTCTGATAACCTTTTTTTTTTTTTTTTTGAAAGAGAGAGAGAGAGACTATTCCATCCTGTTGTCCGCTCCCCAGGTGGTTGCAGTGGCCAGGGCGGGGTCAGGCAGGAGCCAGGAGCTTCATCTGAGTCTCCCATGTGGGTGCAGGGGCCCAACCACTTGGGCCATCTTCTGCTGCTTTTCCCAGGCCATTAGGAGGGAACTGGATAGGAAGTGGAGCAGCTGGGACTTGAACCAGCGCCCATATGGGATGCCAGTGTCACAGGGGGTGGCTTTACCAGCTGTGCCACTCTGCGGGGTGGCTGATAACCTCTTGGTGTGCATCCTGTGTGTCTGGGCACAATGTCATTATCTGTTCTAGTGGCTGCAGTTGCAGGGTGAGCATAACCAAAGCTCAGGCTCACAGACAGCAGCTGGAATTCTGTGTTAAGTCCTGTTTCCCGCTAGCCCGCTGGGTCCAGCTTAGGCTCTCTTTTTCTTTTTTAATTATTTACTTATTTGAAAGTCAGAGTTACACACAGAGAAAAAGAGGCAGAGAGAGAGAGAGAGAGAGAGAGAGAGGTCTTCCATCCGATGGTTCAATGGTTCACTCCCCAATTGGCCGAAATGGCTGGAGCTGCACCAAACTGAAGCCAGGAGCCAGGAGCTTCTTCTGGGTCTCCCAAGTGGGTGCAGGGGCCCAAGGACTTGGGCCATCTTCTACTGCTTTACCAGGCCATAGCAGAGAGCTGGATTGGAGTTGGAGCAGCCGGGACTCGGACCGGTACCCATATGGGATGCCGGTGCTGCAGGCTGGGGCTTTAATCACTACACCACAGCACCGGCCCTGGTGTATAATTCCTTTAATATGCTGTTGGATTTGGTTTGGTATAATTCTGTTGAGGATTTCTGCCTCTATCCGGGAGGATATTGACTTGTATTTTTTTCTTCTTGTGACACTTTGGCTTTTGGATCAGGATGATACTGGCCTCACAGAATGAGTTAGGAAGTGGCCCTTCCTCTTCTGTTGTTTGACAGTTTGAGAATGATGAATGTTCATTTTCCTTTAAATGCTGGTAGAATTTACCAGTGAGATCATCTGGTCTTGGATTTTTCTTTGTTGACAGGTTTTTGATTACTGATTCAATTTCTTATTTTGTCATAGGTATGTTCATACTTTCTTTTTTTAAAAAAGAGATTAATTAATTAATTGAATAATTCAAAAGGCAGAGTGACTAGAGAGAGAAGGGTCTTCCATCCACTGGTTCAATCCCCAAATGGCCACAATAGCCAGGGCTGGACCAGGCCAAAGCCAGGAGCCCAGAACTCCATCTGTGTCTCCCACAAGGGTGGCAGGGACTCAAGTACTTGAGCCGTTCTCCGCTGCCTCCCAGGGTGTGCAGTAGCTGGAACTTGAACCCAGGCACTCTGATTCGGGGTGCAGGTGTCCCATGTGCTGTCTTAGCTGCTGCACCAAACTCCTGCCCCAGCCCGTGTTGTTGACTTTCCACACATGTGTTTCTGTAGACTTGATGATTCGGCCTCTTAGGATGGCTTTAATTTCTCTCTGAGTTCACAGCTATTTCCTGCTTGTAATTGATTTGCATGTCTGTGCTTGCCCCCTGTTTTCCCGATAGGTTATCTGCTGGCTTATCTATTTCGTTCCTTCTGTTTATTTGTTCTGGGTTTTACAGGATTATGGTCTGGATGACATGCCTAGAACTTAGCACGCTCCCTGCCTGTGACCGTGTTCGGCCTGCAGCCACGACTCTTCTTGTCCTTCTTCTCCATCCTCTGATCACTCTGGCGGCAGCAGACGTTTATCAGAGTCTGGTGGGCCAGCTCACCGTGCAGGGAATTGGAAGCAGCGTGAACTTTGGCGTGAAGTGGTGCCTGGTGTGTGTCCGTGAGCAGTTGCCACGCTCCCTACACCTGAGCTCCGCATCTGTGAAAGATGGCCGCGTGGGAACCGGTTACTCTGTGTGTGTCAGTCAGCTTCTCATTCCTTTAACTGACAAACCTCACGGGAGCCACTTAGGAGGGAAGAAAGTTTTCTCGGCTTCTGGTTTGGAGATTCACAGTCCAGGATGGACGGCCTCACTTGTCTAGCGTCTGGTGGAGGCTAGCCATAGCAGCGTGGGTGTGGAGGGACAATCGCAGGGTGAACCGGGAAGCAGAGCCAGGTGCAGGAAGCACGCTCGGCTTGCGTAACCGGCCCTTTCACGAGAACTGGCTTCCAAGGGCTCCGGCAGGCCCCTTTCTCAGATGCCATAGTTGGATCAGGTGTTCACCCTTACTCCACAGCAGTTTTTTTTTTTTTTTTTTTTTTTTTTTTTTTTTTTTTTTTTTAAGATTTATTTGTTTGTTTGAAAGAGTGACAGAGAGAGGGAAAGACAGATCTACTGTCTGCTGGTTCACTCCCCAAATGCCCACAACAGCCAGGGATAGGCCAGCTGAAGCCAAGAACTCCATCCATGTCTCCCACCTGGGGGACAGGGACCCCAGCACTAGGGCCGTCTTCTGCTGCCTTCCCTGGCAGATCGGAGTGGAAGTGGAAGAGCCAGGATTCAAACTGGCCACCAGCAGGGGATACAGACATCCCCAAGTAGCACTTAGCCTGCTGTGCCATGAGCCTTGCTTCCATGTTTGGGTTAAATATCTGCATGAGTCTGGGAACCCAAGTCCTGTCCAATCCATAACACTCCTTCTCAACCTTGAACTTCTTTGACTTTTATGCACGTTGGCTTTGTGAAAAGTCTGATCCTGTTTGTGTGTGTCAAATGGACACAATTACAATCCAGGTCTTGTCTGAAAAATACTATAATTTTTTTAAAGCATCTAGCATGGTGCCAGGTACATAGTAGGAACCCAAGACACTGTATTGAAATTGAATAGGAGGTTTTTTAAAGAGGGAATACGTATGTGTAGAACCCTTGTGTGGGGAGCAACCCGGACTGGACTGAGTTACTGGAATTAAGACTTATTCTATGCATCTGCTCTCCCACAATATGGCGCTGGGAGAGAAGAAAACAGCTTCTACACAGCTGCCTCCAGTTCAGCCAATAAACTGTAGGACTTGCTCCTGATTGGAGGAGAGCAGCGTACTCGGCGTGTGGGCAGCTGAGTTGGGATTGGCAGAGGAGGACTATAAAGGAGGAGAGAGACGGCATGCACGAGGAACATCTAAGGGGAACACCTGTGCAGCCCCCGAGAGAGCCGGCCGGCGGTGTGCCGCTCCCCTGCGGAAGTGGGGAATGTGGCCAGGGGGAACTGCCCTTCCACGGAGGTGGAAGGGATGGTAGCCAACCCGGG